AATATGTGAAGCTAAAAGTGATAGAACTTAGAAGATAGACAAATCCACATTTATAGTTGGAAACTTCAGCAACCCCCTCTCATTAATTGACAGAACAATTAGATCGAAAATTCTTCAAGATACAGAACTATATGCCATTAATCAACAGGATCTGTTTGATATTTATACAACATTCAACAATACCCAACAAAAGAAAAACACACATTCTTTTCAGTGTGCAAGGAACACACACCCTGTGTCATAAAACAAGCCTCATAAAATTAGAAGAATTGAAACCATGGAGAATGTGTTCTCCAACCACGGTGGAATAAAGCTAGAAATCAGTGACAAAGATAACAGAAAAACCTACAAACACCTGAAAAAGGTAAACTGAATAGCTCAGTACCTACTAAGGAAGTTGAATTTATAATTTAAAAGCTCCCCCAAAAGAAATCTCAAATCTCAGGCCCAGGTGAGAAATCTCACTGGAGATTTCTAACAAACACACAAAGAAAAATTAACATCAATTATACACAGTCTCCTCCAGAAAACAGAAGAGAGGGACTGCTTCCCGACAAAGCTGTTATTACCCTGATATCCAAACCAGACAGAGACAGTGGAAAAAAACAAAACCCAACAGTCCAATATTCCTCATGGGTATAGCCACCTGAATTCTTCAAAAGTATTAGTAAGTGGAATTCAGCAATATATGAAAAGAGTTATAAAGGTTTATTCCATGTACTCAAGGCTTGTTTAATAATTGAAAATCTATCCATGTAATCCACTATTTTAGGCTAAAGAAGAAAAATCACATGATAGTATTAATAAATGCAGGAAAACATCTGACAAAATTCAGGGTCGATTCATGATAAAAACTTAGAGAAATGTAGAAATAGAGGGGAACATCCTCAACTTGGTAAAGAACATCTACAAAAAAACTTAGAGCTAATATTAAAATACATGTGGTGAAATATAAGTGTAAAGACTAAATTCATTCCCCCTGAGACAGGAAACAGGCAAGGATATCTGCTCTCACTATTCTTGTTCACATAGCACTGGAAGAGTTAAAAAGTCCACTAAGAGGAAAACAAGACATACAGACTGGAAGGGAAGTAATAAGACTGTCTCTATTTGATTTTGACATGGTTGTCTACATAGAAAAGTTGTCTACCTAGATTCCCAAGGAATCTAAAATAAACTGAAATAATGTGTTTTTGGCAAGGATATAGGATACCAGATAAATATACAAAACCACTTGTTTTTTTAAAAAAGATTTTATTTATTTGATAGAAAGAGACAGCGAGAGAGGGAACACAAGCAGGGGGAGTGGGAGAGGGAGAATCAGGCTTCCTGCCGAGCAGGAAGCCCGATGTGGGGCTTGATCCCAGGACCCTGGGGTCATGACCTGAGCCAAAGGCAGACGCGTAATGACTGAGCTACCCAGGGGCCCCTACAAAACCACTTTTATCTCTGTATAGTAGCAATAAATGTGTGGACCCTGAAATTAAAAATACAGTATCGGGGCACCCGGGTGGCTCAGTCGGTTAAGTATCTGCTTTCAGCTCAGGTCATGATCCTGGGATTGAGCCCTACGTTGGGCTTCCTGCTCAGCAGGGATTCTGCTTCTCCCTCTCCCTCTGCTCCTCCCCCAACTCCTGCTCCTGCACATAAAATCTTTAAAAAAAAATACGGTGTAAGTACTCAAAATGTGAATTAGGGGGCACCTGGGTGGCGCCGTTGATTAAGCATCTGACTCTTGGTTTCGACTCAGGTCGTGATCTCAGGGTTTTCAGATCAAACCCCGCGTAGGGTTCTGCACTTGGTGCAGAGTCTGCTTGAGACTCTGTCTCCCTCTGCCCCTACACTTTCTCTCTCTCTCTCTCTCTCTCAAATAAATAAATCTTTAAAAAATATGAATTAAGTGTAAATCTAACAAGATAGACAGGATCTGTATGCTGAAAATTTCATTACAATGTTGATGAAAGAAATTAAAGAAGATCTAGATAGATGGACAGATAAACAGTGTTCATGGATTGGAAGACTCAATACAGTAAGGATGTTAATTCTCCCCAAATTGACATACAGATTTAATGCAACTCCTATGAAAATACCAGCAAGGTCTTTTGTAGAGATAGATGAGCTTATCCTAAAATATGTACAGAATGGCAAAGAAACTGTAATAGCTAAAACAATTTTGAAAAAGCAGCATAAAATGGAAGGAATAAATCTACCTGATTGCAAGTCATTTTTTAACTACAGTAATCAAGAGTGTGTAGTTTTGGTAAGGGATAGACACACAGCTCAATGCAGCAGAATAGAAAAGCCAGAAATAGATCTACACAGATATGCCCAAATGATTTCATCAAAGGAACAAAAGCAATTCATTGGAGAAAAGATAAACTTTTCAACAAATGGTGCTGGAGCAATTATATGTGCATAGGCAAAAAACAAATTAAAAAACACTTGACCTAAGTCTCATACTTTATACAAAAGTTAACTAATAATTTATCATAACTTAAATGTAAAATGTAAAACTAAAAAACTTTTAGGAAAAAAAATTGGAAAAAAATCTTCAGAATTTAGAGTAGGCCAAGATTTTCAGAATCAATACTAAAAATGTGATCCCGAAAAGGAAAAATTGATAAATTGGACCTCATCAAAATGAAAAGCTTTTGCTTTTGAAGAAGATGAAAAGACAAGCTGAAAACTGGGAGAAAATATTCGCAAACCACATATCTGACAAAGGATTGGTATTTCAAATATATAAAGAACTCTCAAAACTCTACAGAAAAAAAAAAAAATAGCCAAACCAAACAATTCAATTAGAACATGGGGAAAAAAAGACATTTCATGGAACAGGATATAAAAATGGCAAATAAGCACATGCAGATATTTTCTACATCATTAACCATTAGTGAAATGTTACTACATACCTATCAGAATGGCCAAAATTAAAAATAGTTCCAACACCAAATTCAGGTAAGGATGTGGAGAAACTGGATCATTCAAACACAATGGGAATATAAAATGATACAGCCACTTGGGAAAACATTTTGGCGGTTTTGTATAAAATTAAACATGCAAATATTATATGACCCAGTAATTGTACTATCCCAGAGAGATGAAAAGCTATGTTCACAGAACAGACAACCTTTATGCAAATGTTTATAGCGGCTTTATTAGCAATAGCCAGCTATCCTCTAGCAGGTGAATGTTTAACTGTGATACAGCTATACTTATTTTTGTTTATTTATCTTAAATCCAGACACTTTACTAAACTCTCTTACACATTTTTATGATTTTTAAGTCAAGCAGATAGCATTTTTGGGGTAACAAATTCTTTCTATAAAAGTTGGTTCATTTCTGGTGTTTATTTTTCAGTAATCATACTTAATTTCTTTTTTCCCCAGTCATATGGTATTACCCAGAAACTCCTGAGCAGTTGCAAATAAATTTGGTGATAGAACCTAGTCTCTTCTTGATCCTGACTAACATGGAAATGCTTTAACATTTTATAGTTAAGTGTGGATAGTTGCTTTTTGTTTGCTTTTATCAAATTTGTGAAGTTTTGCTAAGATTTTTTTTTCTAGAATGCATGTTAAGATTTTTACTATTTTTTCTGCCTCTATTGATAGGATAATGTTTTTTCTTTTTTAATTCATTAATATATCACTCTTGAGCATCTGTTTTTGAGTGTACTGGTAATACATATTTTCTTTTTTGGGGAAATATTTGTTCATGTTGTTTGTTCATTTTTCTATTGGGATATTTATATTTTTATTGGTTTATAGGATTTCTTTACATATTTTTCTTACTAATTATTTGTCAGTTATATGTATTATAAATGTCTAGAAGACATTTACCCAGTTGGTAACTTGGTCTTATACTTTATTTAAAGCATCTTTTGATTAACAGAAGTTCATCCCAAACTGTTTCAATGTAGGTTTCTGAGTGTCAAAACTTCCAAGATATTGTTTGCATGCCTGAAAATATTTGCATTAAACTTCCACATTCGTTTGATATTTGGGAAATTTAAAGGTCTAAATTTAAAGGTCTTTTATTTAGATAACTAAAAGTAAAAATTCACTGTCTTCTTATATCTTGTATTGTTGTTAAAAAGACTGATGACAATTTGATTCTTTTTTTTTTTTTAAAGATTTTATTTATTTATTTGAGAGAGAGAGAGAGAATGAGAGAGAGAGAGAGCCCGAGATGGGGGAAGGTCAGAGGGAGAAGCAGACTCCCTGCTGAGCAGGGAGCCTGATGTGGGACTGGATCCTGGGACTCCAGGATCATGACCTGAGCTGAAGGCAGTTGCTTAACCAACTGAGCCACCCAGGTGCCCTGACAATTTGATTCTTGTTCTCCTGAAGATGATCCGCTTTTTCTCTCTGGAAAGTTGAGATCATCTTATTGCAATGAAACATTCTCTAGATCAGTGTTTCTCCCACTGTGATCCCTGGACCAGCACCATCACCATACTTTTGGAAATACAAATTCTAGCGACCCACCCCAGACCTACTGAAAAAAACAAAACAAAACAAAAAACAACAACAAAAAAACCCTCGGGGTACATCTCAGCGGTCTGTATTTAAAGACTTCCAGGTGAATCTGATGCATGCAAATCAGGTGATGCATGGAATCACTATTCTAGATCCTTGCTACTCTAAGCGTGGTCCAGAGTTCAGCATCATCAGCTACATCCATAAATGTATCAAACATGACATGATGTTTGGTTATAGTGACTGTGCTTTCAAAAATGTTATTTTCATATAGAGATGATGAAAACTTAACTTTCCTACATCTTTCAATCTTATTAAAATTATTTGCAAAATGCTGGCATGGCAAAGTTTTCTAACAAAGTTTATGTTAAAGTTTCATGTGCATAATTTGTTACCTGATAAGTGCAGTACATTTTTAAACCCTGATTTTCATAATTTTCTTTTATTAACTACTCGAGACATTGAACTTTGCTATTAAAATTTAATTTTCATGTTTTTAACTTTGACTTTATTTTACAGGCTTTGTTAGAAACAGCTGAAATGCAAACAGAAAAACAATTGTCAAGTCTATCAGGAAAAATAGAATGTGAAGGACCTAATCATCATTTCAATACGTTCATTGGAACCTTGTATCTAAATGGTAAAAGGTATCACCTGTCACTTCTCAAACCTTTTTTTTTTTTTAATGGAACATTAAAAAATGGCAGTTTTTATTTTCTTGGTTGGTAACATTTTAAACCTTTATACTTTTTCATTTTTTACTTGACTTTGAAATACCTGAGGCATCAATATATTGTTTTTTAAAAAAGGAATTCTTAAGTATAAGAGGAAAGTGTATGACATTTTCTTAATCAGCTTACCTGCAAATGGAAGGACTAGAGAAGTCAGGTCCAAGTTCCCATTGCAGACAAGCACTTAGCACATCCCTTGGGGTAAATTAGTGGAAAGAACAAGGTTTTGAAAGTCATCCAAGGAGAGAAGCCACTAAGGATTTAGTTTGATAACGATGAAGGATTTTTCCTAATTTCTACTCCATTTCTACTTAGCTTCTACTTTAGACTTTCACAAAAACATCTTTTATATAGTGAGTTGGGCTGTGCTGGAGCGGAGGAGGACAAGTAAATATGGCAGACTGAGCTTGCTTTGTGTGCTCTGAATGACCACATATAATCTTTTCTATAGATTACCAAATTGGCACACAGGTACTTATTCCTCCACCTAATCTTCCTTGACAATAAGATTTATAGTCACCGTAGGTATCAGAGGTATTTTCTCTCCAAAATTTTAGTCAACATACTTTTTTGGGTTAGTGAGAAATGGATGATAAAACATTGTTTTTCCATGCTCTTTTAGAAGGAGGTACTTTCTATGAAGACACATTTGTTTTTATTGCTATTTCCCCCCAGTGTTGAACTTGACAAAAGAAAATATATATAAGGTGAAAGCTTAGGCTTGCTTTACATTGTGAAAAGAAAAGAAAAAACTTTTTGGTTAATTTATAAATGCTCTTCTTTATTTTTAGCCCTGTTCCAATTGGGCCTGATCAGATCTTGCTAAGAGGTACACAACTTAAAAATACTCAGTGGATCCTTGGTATAGTTGTTTACACTGGATTTGAAACCAAATTCATGCAGGTAAAATAATTTGTGATGACAGATAGTATTGCCTCTAGATTTTTTCTTCTTTTAGGAGGTGAGGGATTTAGTGTTTATCTCTTAAATTTAGGAAGCTTATTTCTGGGGGCAGCTGGGTGGCTCAGTTGGTTAAGTGTCTGCCTTTGGCTCAGGTCATGATCCCAGAGTCCTGGGATCAAGTCCCACATTGGGTTCCCTGCTCAGCGGGAAGTCTGCTTCTCCTTCTGCCCCTCCTCCTGCTCATGCTCTCTCTCTTAAATAAATAAATAAAATATTTTTTTTAAAAGGAACCTTATTTCTGTTTATTAGCCTGAAGTTTGAAGGGAGGTCCATATTTCATTTTAGTCTATATGGCTCCCATTTATGGTAAGATTATTTTGGCCAAATGACATTAGAAGTTCTATGTAAATTCTTACTCTCATGTACCATTCCTCTCAATCATCTTGCTTTCTTTTTTTAAATTCTATAATGAACAAATATTTAATAATACGTGTACAGACACACACATAAACGTGCAGAAAACACTTTGTGTTGGCAAAAATGGTATCAATCTGTACAGACTATTATATGAACTGCTATTTAAGACTTAAAATTACATTCTATATTAACATATGGAGGGGTGCCTGGGTGGCTCAGTCGGTTGAGCATTGGACTCTTGATTTTGGCTCAGGTTATGATCTCAGGGACGTGGTGGGATTGAGCCCTATATCAGGCTCCACGCTTAGAACAGAGTCTGCTTGAGATTCTCTCTCCCTCTCCCTCCACCCTTCCTCCCACTTGTGTGCTTGCTCTGTCTTAAATAAATAAATAAATAAATAAATAAATAAATAAATCTTTAACATGTGGAAGTAACATAGTTACATTAGAGACTCTAGGGGAGAGAAACTATTATAAATATTGCTGCAGTGAACATGGATAGTTGCTTATTTTTTTCACAGAAGATAGATCTCTAGCATTGAAATTGTTGAAACAAAAGGCAGCATATTTTTTTAAAGTTTTTATTTAAATTCCAGTTGGGGAGAGCTGGTTGGGGGGATGGGTTGAATAGGTGATAGGGATTAAGTGTTGTGATGAGCACCAGCTGTTGTGCAGAAGTGTTGAATCACTAAATTGTATGCCTGAAAATCAATCACGGTCTTTGTTTTGGAGTAGGAATTTTTGCATGTTTATTATTCACGAGAAGTAACTTAACAGTAAGTCTACCCATTATACCATCTGCTAAAATACAACATTTGGCTTTGACTATTCCTTCTACAAATATCTCTTTAGTACTTTTGTAATGCCAGACACTGTGCTAAGACCTTGGGGTGTAGTAGGCCTGTTGCCTGTCCTTGAGTTACTTGCAGTGTGTGAAGGAAGACAGTCAAGGTAACATAATAGCAAGAGGTCACTCAGGAGGGGTAAGTATAGGATGCTCCGTGTCTGCACAGGCACTCCATCCAACCTGATGCTGAGGCTGTTGTGGGGAAGTAGCATGTAAAGCAAGACCTGAAGGCTGAGTAGAATACATGGGAGTGTCAAGGGCATGGGGAGGTTCAGAAAGAAAGGGAGGCAGGTTGGGACAGCACTAGGCCAAGAATTGGCATGTGCCTTATTGGGCAGTGCAACACAGTGTGACCGATGGCAGAGAAAGAAGGCATGGAATGGGGACAGACTAGTCTGAGGAAAGTTGGAGGCTGTACGACTGAAGACCTGGGTACATTTTCTTGCAAAGCTATGCTGGTCTGTGACATTCCCCTGTGTTTGCTTCCCAATTTCTTGTCTCACTTTTCTTTTCCTCTCATTCTTCCTGCCCTGGGATTGTACCCTGCAGTAACGCATTAATGGGTAAGATTTCCTTATACTCTGTATACTAGAAACCCCAGACTAAGACAGTGATATAAACACAGTCTATCCCCAAAAAGAAGTTTGTATTTGGACAGGGAACCAAGGGCAACGTAGAACACACATAATCATGACCCGTGATTCAGTTGTAAACTGCTCCACCCTCAAACAGTACACTTCAAATGACCGCGCTGGCTTACTTAATTGTCCACCTGGTAATACAACACTGCATCTCAGATTTCACTGTCTACTGTTAATGGAAGAAGCCCACTCCATTATCCCCCCAGTATGGCTTGTCTGTGCTGCAGCTCATTGGAAAGTGCATCCTTCTCTATGATATTTTGTAGATGTAAATCATTGCAGAAGTTTATTATACATGTTGATTGTGTCATTTAAGAATAACAGAAATCTCAAAGAGGGCTTTTTCATGACTTCAGAAAAGAAAGAACTAGTAAATGTCAGTATTTCCTTATTGAAAGATTTTAAGTACAACACCCTTAGCTGAAAACTGTTCTATATTGTATAACATTTGAAGACATTACTTATACAGGTTAACAAAAGAGAAAGAATGACATGATTGCTTTGGAAATATTATACATAAGTATATATATACTTATATATATGTATATATATTTATATATATGTATATATGTATATAAATGATGTGCACACACACACGGACGTTCTCTAATACTAGGCTTAATGCAGTTAAACCTAGGATTTAAAAAAATCTTATTCATATGCTTTGTAAAAAAGTTGAGTAATTTAGAGTACTAACTCATATTTTCATAATTTGTAGACTTTGAGGATTTATGCTTCTACATTTAAAAAAAATGTAGAAATGGTAAACTTAATCTGGCAAAGTGTGATTGAAAAGTTAAATATTTATATCTACCTATATCTGTATATATCTATATGCTTGCCAATTACATATGTTATATATTAAAAAATTAAATACACATATATTTGCCAATATTTCAGTAGACCTCAGCAGACAATTATCAGAAATTTATGGGCAAATCTGAAATGTTAATAGAAAATTATTATTTGAAACTCTCACTGTATCCCTAACCCAGAGCTTTGGTTTCCCTAAAATATGCATGTGTCAGAGCAATTATTGTACTGGTAAAATCTTGAATATTTTCCCAACAGACTCAGATGAAAGGTATCTTTCTACGGTTTTTAAACCAGAAATAATTCAGTAAGTATAAGTAGTAAAACCAACAAATTAGTATGGTCTTTTTTTGGGGGGTTCTGTACAGAAGATCACCTAGACTGATTTACCACATTTGATTTTTTTTTTTTAAACCCTAGAACTCTGGGGTGATAGATCATCTGTGTGAATATGTTCTTTGTGAATTAGTAAAAAATGCTTCAAGGACCGAAGTGGAAAAGCCATGTCATTCAACAATATGGCACACTTTTAGTCTTGGTAGTTATTTGGCAAAAAAAAAAAGTGTGCTATTTTTCAGCTGTTAGGATTTTTGACCTCTTCTTGTCATCAGAGTATTCATGAATTAAAATTCCTTTGATTGTTTTTCATTCTTTTTGGTGTGTGTGCATGTGCTATTATGCAGAATTCTATCAAATTGCCTCTCAAGAGATCAAATGTTGAGAAGGTGACCAGTGTGCAGATCCTGGTGTTGTTCCTGCTGCTCCTGGCCATGTCCTTGGTGAGCTGTTTGGGAGCCATACTCTGGAATCACTGGTACGGAGAAGGCATTTGGTACATCAGGACGAAGGGTAAATGTCCAAGGGTGGTAAGAAGCTACCATTTTGGGAGTTGTAATGCTGTAACCCTGAGGATTAACCTGAGTTTAGAAACAATGTTTCCTTCTTAAGATTGTTCTGCCAGTTCCGCATAATCTTGGCATTCCAGAATAAAGGAGAGGGAGGAGTCAAGGCAGAGGAATGAGACTGAGCCAGACAGACAAGGCCCACATCACTGCCTCCACCACCTAGCCACCAGAAGTTGGACAAGGCTTTTTACTTCTCTGGGCTTCTCTTTTTACTTCTTCTTCCCTCATTTGAAAATGGCAATAATACCCACCTCACTGGGTTAGTACAGTGCTCTGTGGACAATGAATGATGCCAAGAAAATGACTACAAGGGGCCCCCCCGAAGGGGATTCAGTGGTTAAATTGACCAGAAGGTCAGTAAAAGATTTAAAGGTAAACTATCCTTGGCATTAAAAGTTGAGTCTTTTTTTTTTTTGCTTATGTCTTTCCATGTTTTCAGAATTAGCTGTCATACATCTTTCTGCCTTTTCTCATCTATCGGCTGAGGATTTTAAATTTTTCTAACTTCCTTTGAGAGGATCTGTCTGGGAGCATCTTAAAGAAGCTAAGATAAGGACTTTGTAGATTGGATAAAAAAAAATCAAAGATTCATTCTTATGCAATCTGGATTTCTAGATGGTACCTATCTAGTTTTTATCTCAAGCTTTTAGATTTTCAATGATTTCAAAAAAGTAATCTCAATTTAAATGTGCTTGTTTAATTTGTCCGAGCCCAGAGCCATGAATATTATCTTATTTTGAAACAGACACAAATTCTTACAGAAGTCACTGATATTTTGTTGCGGATAAAATGTGTCAAGTTCTGCATAGCCTACAAATGACCTGTTCTTTCCTTCTTGATCAGACTTCTTGAAAGAAGAGACAACCCTCATTGTTTCTATTTTCTTGCATCCTGGTCACTCTTGGGTCCATTTCCATCTGCTGTCCACTTCAACCAGTCTACTGGAATTGTGGCTCAAGGGTAGGAATCAATTCCCAGTTGCCAAACCCAGTGGTCATTTTTTTAAGTGGGATCTAATTGGACCCCTGCCACCCTCTTCTGATATTTTTTTTAAACCATCTCTTCCCTATTTGATTCATAGAAACTTTCATCCGCCTTTTAAATGCTGGTATTTTTCAGGATCCTAGGTTCACCAGGAATGTCTCAACTTGGGTCCATAAATCCTAAAAATTTTGTGAGAACTTCATTCATATATGTATATGTGCATGTTGTTTTCCTGCAGAAGGGCCTTCACTGGCTTCTTAGGGATTATCCTGTCCAAGAAAATCCTTCTAAGAGAGCTTACTTGTTCTAATAATTTCATCTGTCATCCATCAGTTGATGTCTTCTACCTGTTTGCCTCCAGCTCAGATCACTCCCTGAATTACTAACTCATTGTTGTCTGGACATTACTTTCCAGGTATCATGTAGACTTCTTTTTTTTTAATTAATTTAATTTTATTATGTTATGTTAGTCACCATGCAGTATATCATTAGTTTTTGATGTGGTGTTCCATGATTCATTGTTTGCGTATAACACCCAGTTCTCCATGCAATACGTGCCCTCCTTAATACCCATCACCGGGCTAACCCATCCCCCCACCTCCCCTCCCCTCTAAAACCCTCAATTTGTTTCTTGGAGTCCATAATCTCTCATGGTTCGTCTCCCCCTCTGATTTCCCCCCCTTCATTTTTCCCTTCCTTCTTCTAATGTCCTCCATGCTGCTCCTTATGTTCCACAAATAAGTGAAACCATATGAAAATTGACTTTCTCTGCTTGACTTCTTAATTTAGCACGTACAAAACTAAATGCATCTTCTTTCCCCAAACCATTGTCTTTTTTCAGTATTCTCCATGTAAATTGTAGGTACTCCATCCAACCATCATCCAAGCTGGAAACATAAAGGTCACTCTTACTCCTCCTTCTCAGCTTCCTCCCCTTTTCCCCACTCCTACCCCTATGGCCTTCATCATCCAATCAGTCCCAAAGTCTTGTTCATTCCACCTTTTCAATATTTTCTCTGTGTGTACTCTCTTTTTCATCGCTGGACAACTGTCACAGTTTTCCAACTGGTTGCCCAGCCCTCAGTCAAGTTCCACTCCAATTCATTCTTCATACAGTTTCCAGAAAGATGCAGATAAAAAATAGTTATGAATACATGCAGTAGCTTCAGTGTATCCTGTTGTTTATGCTGGTATGGTAGACTACTACCTGATGGCCCACTGCTTGTTTTTGTAAATAAAGTTTTATCGGAGCACAGCCATACTTATTTATTTATGTATTATCTGTGATTATTTCAGTGCTACAATAGCAGAGTTGAGTAACTGAAACAGAGACTGTATGTCCTGCAAAACCTAACCTAAAATATTTCCCCTCTGGCTGTAGACTCCTGGCCTACAGGGTCAAGATAAATCTCCTTTAGCATGGCATATCAGGACTTTTATAATCTGGTCCTATCTTCATCACCTGATACCTCACCACTTCTTCCTGAGCACTTGGTCCCTATTCACAGAAGATTGACTTTTGATCTATTTCATGATCCTTCCATCCAGCAGTTGCTTCAGCATCCCTAGGCCTTTCATCTTGTGCTCCTTCCTTCTGCCTCAAATGCATCTCTGGTCCCTTCTTGACTGGATACCTGTCACTTCTCATTTCAGTCCAAGATGAGGTATTACCTTCTCCAGTAGTATTTCCTATATCTTATCTTCCTCTTTTAATTTAATTAGGAGCCCTCTTGGCTTCTATAATGATATCCTTAATAGATATCATTCCATTTCCATGTTTTACAATTATTGTTTGTTCCTCCCCCCGCAGCTAGATTGTGAATTTTTGAAAATTGTGAATTTTTGGGAATCATTGTATCTTTAACTCCAAGAACAGTGCCTTTTCATAATAGGAACTCAGTAATTTTTTGGCTAAAAGAAATAATTTTATATTTAGAAACAGAACTGTATAGTTTTCTAGTCCAGCCCCTTGTTTTATGAAAGTGAAACAGATTCTGTATATTTACCAAAAAGCACAGAGGAACTTAGTGGCTTATTTGGAATGAGAATCCATAATTGGCTCTAGACTACTACACCACTCTACCAGGATATTCTAGTCCAAAAGAAGAAAAAGGTATTGGGTAATTAAAGTATAACTATATTTTTAGTAATTAATAAATATATCAAAGCACTTGATCTTGTCTCCACTTCTCTGTCCATCAAATGGCCATAATAATATCTGCCTCTAGTATTCCTAAAAGAATAATTTATGACCACAAAGTAATACAGTAAGTATAAAAGTATAAATATGGCAAATAAGGGAAAGTTCGTAAACTCAGTGGTGATAAGAGTTTGAATAGATATGATAGCAAATTAAACTTGACTTTTGCTTTTATTTTTTATTTTTTTTAAAGGCTTTGTTTATTTGACAGAGAGATAGAAAGAGAACACAAGTAGGCAGAGAGGCAGGCAGAGGGAGAGGGAGAAGCAGGCTTCCCACTGAGCAGGGAGCCCGATGCATGGCTCGATCCCAGGACCCCGGGACCACGACCTGAGCCGAAGGCAGCCGCTTAACCGACTGAGCCACCAGGCGCCCCAAACTTGACTTTTAAATTGATGGAATTTAGAAATCTAGATTTAACTACTGTTCTAAATTACAAGTGTGTGCCTTTTTTAGGAAAAATGAATATAAAATTTTAATTTAAAATTATTATTTAATTTTGTCTTTATATATACATATTTATGTTTAATTATACTTTACAAATCAATTTGTGTTTAGTTCTTTTCAGTTATAACCCCACCTCCCATAACTCAACATATAAATTTAATATTTAAGGTTGAGATGTAAGTTTTCAGAAAGACATGTATAAAGCAGCATGTATATATCCCCTGAATACCTTCTAGATATTTTTCAGTACATTTCTGTGAAATTAGACTGAATTTTTATTGCAAAATTACTCTCTCAAATGTACCTATCTCTTTAAAAAGGAGGATATCACTAGGTTTTACAAGTATCATATTCATTTTTTTTCTTTTCCTTTTGGCTTCACTTTCCTTCTTTCCCTGAGTTTTAAAAAATCATTTGTTATTTCTTTGTCTTCAAGCCATGTAGTTCCTGCTAAATAAGATATCCTCATTCTCTTCCCCTCATCTTCTCCATTTAACAAACTCCCTTCTTCAAACTTTGCTGCACCCTCTTCCTGGGCCCTCCACTTTGTGCTGTTGTTACTCTCCGTGTTCAGTGCTAGCATGGAATTCATCATGCTGTACTTCCTGACTCATCTTCCCTTCTCAAGCCGCATCCAAAGCTCCCTGAGGGTGGGGTCTATCTCTTGCTAGATCTTGTACTTTGATACTTGCCATCCACCCTATTACATGGTTGGTGCTTCACTGATCCTTTAAAAACCATTTTGATGTGTCCATTTCATTATACTTTAGAGAAGTTTCATGCAGAAGTGTTCACAATTTTAAAAAGTAATAATGCAAACAAAGATGAAGAAAGCTATTGCCTGAAGCTGTGACACGATTCCTCTGCTCTTCTGCAGATTACAGCTCCCACAGCTTAGGGTTTGACTTATTGGTGTTCATCATCCTGTACCACAATCTCATCCCCATAAGCCTGCTGGTCACTCTGGAAATTGTGAAATATGTTCAGGCCATGTTTATAAACTGGGTGAGTATTGAAATCAGAAAGTTTAAAAAACAGTTCTCTCTTGATCTGTGGCTTTGGTTTTGAAAATTAGCATAGCAGTTCTCACCATGGGGCTAGTACATGGGCCAGTTGTGCTTTTGACAGGGAAGCCAAACATTGGTGTCAGCCTGACTCCAACGTGCCTGGGCCTTTCTGTGTCACTATTGAGGACACCATTGTTTCATATGTTTATTCTAAGTGAAAGGAAAGATTTAAGAGTTAGTGGCTTAGTAGCAACTGTGAAGAGATAGCCCATTAAGAGATAGCCCATTCAGCGGGAAGCCTGCTGCTTTCTCTCTCTCCCACTCCCCCTGCTTGTGTTCCCTCTCTCGCTGTGTCTCTCTCTGTCAAGTAAATAAAGTCTTAAGAAAAAAATGTAAGATCCTCGAGAGGAGAAGAGTCCAGTAGACTTATAATAGATTTACATACCTTGGCAAGAGTGACAGAAACAGCTATTTCAGAATCATTTCACATCAAGGAAAAGATATCTTAAGTGAAAACCATGCATTCACTTAAGTAAATACTTAATAACCTGTGACTGAATGAATTTTCCAATTTGAAAGTATGGTTGCAATTTTCAGTTCTATTTTAAAAGATTTTTCCTGGAAGTAAGATTTTTGCTAGATATCTCATTAAAATGATCTCCCTATGCCAATAAATTACCACCAGTTGAAGCGTACTGTTATTTTTAACAACCACAAAATGAGACAGAGTGCTTTTAAATGTATTCTCATTTAATTTTCATAGGAATGCTGGGTGATCCATGTTATTGCTCCCATTTTATAGATGTAGTAGCTGCAAAGCACCCTCAGGATCCCACAGAGTGAGAGCCTGAGGCAGAGGCGGGATTTGGAAGCCAGGTCTTCCAATACCAAACCAACCATACACTGACATTTGTTTCTACATAGCATTGCCTCTCCTGAATCAGCTCCGCCAACGTACGTGAGACGCTAACACCCGAGACTCTCCAAGTATTCTACACTCGCCATTTTGAATTCTTTCTCATGTCAGCCACGTCAGAAGACCAGTGGCGGTACAGTCGACCTGAAGAAATTTTGAGCCTAGTTCTGACTGTGTGTCTTGGCTATTTTGTTCATATCTTGCAGGATGAAGATATGCATTATAAAGGAAATAATGTCTATGCCATGGCCAGAACATCCAATCTTAATGAAGAGCTTGGGCAGGTGAAGGCCCCTTCAGACACTGGGTCCGTGAAAGGAACTTTGAAGAAGGTGGATCTAGGGAGAGGGTGAGCAAAGTTGAAGTGCTGAATTCAGCCACAGGCTGTAGTTAATATGATACCCATATGGAGCTTCAAAAGTAGGATTTGTTAAAAATATTGATAATGCATCCTGGGTTGCAACCTAATACAGGTTATTAGTGTGCTTAGGAAAGAGTAGAAGAGCTGGAGAGGCAGGTAGGGAAAGCTTCAGTTAGCTCTCAAGTTTTCACTTAGCTTTCAGGGAGTCACAGGTGGCCATGCTCCTGCTTCCCTAAGGCAGATGACTCTTGGGAAAGCTTCAGGAGCTGCTGCAAAATTTTCCACCTGCCTAACCCATGTACCCTCAGGCCTTTAGTCCCTGCAATACACTACAAAGGGGCAGAAATGATGCCAGGTTACCAACAGACAGTTGGTTACCTTCTAAATGACAGCGGTGTGGTTACAAGTAGAAATTGTTTTTAAAAACTCCCACAGTTATTTGTCAGTTATATCACAGGACAGCTGGAAGAACCCAACGAACTCCCACAGTTGTGTGGTACCTGACAGGAGGAAGACTTCTGATTGTTATTTTTCTGTAATTACTTTTTGTTCTTAATATATTTTTTCACAAGATTATAATTTCCCATCTTTCAATTAATTGGAGGCAATATGTAAATTATGGTAAAAGCAGAATTTTGGAGTTAAGCTTCCTGGGAGTGAACCCTGATTTCACCCATTTATAAGCAATGTCACCATGGGTTTCTTAGGTAACTTGCTGGCCTTCATTCCTCATCTGTAAATCAGGAGAGATGATAGCATCTACTTCAGAAAGTTGTTCGGAGGATTGAATAAGATAATGTATTTGTGGGGCGCCTGGGTGGCTCAGTCATTAAGCATCTGCCTTCCGCTCGGGTCATGATCCCAGGGTCCTGGGATTGAGCCCCACATCGGGCTCCCTCCTCAGCGGGAAGTCTGCTTCTCCCTCACCCTCTGTCTGCCGCTCTGCCTACTTGTGCTCTCTATCTCTCTGGCAAATAAATAAATAAAATCTTAAAAAAAAAAAAAAGATAATGTATTTGTGATATACTCAGCATAGTACCTAGTATGAAGAGGGGATTTAATTAATGCTAATAATTATAACCAGTAATTTGCATATATGCTTTCTAATTTAGGGTCACCTTGTATAGTATCATTTGAATAGAGAGTTCCCAGTAAATATTTATTTTAGAAGGTTTCTGGTGCCTGGAAATGCCTGATCTGAGAACATGAACAGCATTTTTACCTTGGACAAGTAAAGATGAAGGAGGATGGAATCTAGCAACTTTTCTGCTTAAGAAAATCTGATTACTTGCTAATCCTCTAAACATGTTTTCTGTTGACAGTTGGGAAACTGACAAGTTGCCTTGTCAGTTGACTCTAGCCTCTTTAGAGTGGTAATTGAATAGAATAAAACTGGCTGTGGAACTCAAGCTTTAAAAATTAATTATATTGTTTATGTAGGTAATACCTAAAGATAAGGGCAGAAATCAATGAAATTGAAAACAGAAGACAATAGAGGATTTAATATTCAGAATATATCAAAAAACTACAACTCAATCTCAAAACCACAAATAACCCAATTCAAGAATTGGCAAGGGATTTTAATAGGCATTTCTCCAAAGAATATACATAAATGGACAATAAGCACATGAAAAGTGGTCAACATTACTAATCTTTAGGGAAATGCAAATTAAGGCCTCATTGAGACACCATTTCACACCCACTAGAATGGCTACTATAAAACAATAATACCAACAGAGAACAACAAGTGTTCGTGAGGACGTGGAGAGAGTGGAACCCTTGGGCACTACTGCTGAAAATATAAAATACTGCAGCCACTGTGGAAAACAGTATGGTGGAACCTCAAAAAATTAAACTGAGGATTACTATATATTCCAACAATCCAACTTTTGGATATTTTCATGAAATAATTGAGAGTAGGGACTCAACCAGGTATTATATGCAGATGTTTTTAGCAGCATTATTCACAATAGCCAAATGGTGGATACAACTGAAATTTCCATCAATAGATAAATGGTTAAACAAAATGTGGTATATACACGCAATGGAATATTATTCAGCCCTGAAAATGATCGAAATTCAGAAACAGGCTACAACATGGATGGACCTTGGATCTCACACTAAATGAAACATGCCAGACACAAAAAGACAAGTAGTATATGATTCCACTTATATGAGGTACCTGGAATAGTCAGACTCATAGAGACAGAAAGCAGCATAGTGGTTACCTGGGGCTATGGGAGAGGAGAGAATGGGGAGTTACTGTATTGTTGATAAGAGGTTTCAGTTTGGGATGATGAAAAAGTTCTGGAGATGGATGGTGAGGATGCTTGCACAATTATGTGAATGTGCTCAATAACACTTAAAAATGGTTAAAATGGTAAATTTTATCTAAGTACCTTTTACCACAATAATAAAAAATGCTTTAACACTGCCTCTTTCCCTTTTTTACTGAGCTATAATTGACACATATGATTATATTAGTTTCAGGTGTACAACATAATGGTTTGATATTTGTAAATATTGCAAAATGACCATCATAATACATCTAGTTAACATCTGTCACCATATATAGTTAGAGTTCTGGTGATGAGAACTTTTGGATTTGCAATACAGTATTTTTTTTTTTTTTAAATGCAATATAGTATTATTGACTATAATCACCATGCTCAGGATTTATTTTATAACTGGAAGTTTGTACCTTTTGACCCCCTTCGCCCATTTTGCTCACCCAACACTCCCTGCCTCTGGCAACCACCAATTTGTTCTCTGTAGCTATGAGTTTAGTTATTTTTGTTTTTCAGATTGCACATGTGAGATCATGTGGTATTTGTCTTTCTTTGTCTGACTTATTTCAGACAGCGTAATGCCCTCAAAGTCTTTTAACGTTATACAAAGGGCAAGATCTTCTTTCTTATGGCTGAATTGTGTGTGTGTGCACATGTGTGTGCATAATTATGTATCATTATATATACACCACATTTTCTTTATCCATTCATCCATTGACAGACACTCAGGTTGTTTCATCTTGGCTATTGTAGATAATGCTGCCATGAACATGGGGGTACTTATATTTTTTCAAATTAGTTTTTTCATTTTCTTCAGATAAATACCCAGAAATGGAATTGATGGTAGTTCTATTTTTAATTTTTTGAGGAGCTTCCATGCTATTTTCCTTAGTGGTTGCCTCAATTTACTTTCCCACCAACAGTGCACCAAGGGTTCCCTTTTCTCCACATCCTCACCAACACTTGTTATTTTTTATCTTTTGGTAATCACCATTCTAACAGGTGTGAAAGTGATATCTCATTATGGTTCTGGTTTGTAGTTCCCTGATGATTAGTGATGCTGAGCATCTTTTCATGTGTCTGGTGGCCATTTGTATGTCTTCTTTGGAAAAAAGTCTATTGAGATCCTCTCCTCATTTTTTTAAATTGGATTGCTATTTTGCTGTTGCATCATATGAGTTCTTTATATATTCTGGATATTAACCCCCCTCATCAAATATATGATTTGCAAACATTTTCTCCCATTCATTGTGTTACCTTTTTATTTTGTTGATGGTTTGCTTTGCTTTACAAAAACTTTTTAATTTGATGTAGTCCCACTTGTTTATTTTTGCTTTTGTTGTCTTAGTTTTTAGTGTCAAATCCAAAAAAATCCTCACCAAGATTGATATCAAAGATCTTACTACCTATGTTTTCTTCTAGAGGTTTTATGGTTTCAGGTTCTTCTGTTCAAGTCTTTAGTCCATTTTGAGTTAATTTTGTAGGTGGTGTAAGAAAGTGGTCCAGTTTCATTTTTTTGCACGTAGTTATCCAGTTTATTGAAGAGACTGTCATTTATTTATTGAATACCATTTTTTGAAGAGACTATCCTTTCCTTAATGTATATTTTTGGCTCCTTTGTTGTAAATTAATTGATGATAGGTGTGTTCATTATTTCTGAGCTCTCTATTCTGTTCCATTGATCTATGTGTCTGTTCTTATGCCAATACCATACATTTGGATTGCTATAGTTTTGTAACGTAGTTTGAAATCAGGAAGCATAATGCCTCCAGCTTTGTTCTTTTTCAAGATTGCCTTGGTTATTTGGGGTCTTTCGTGGTTCCAGACACATTTTAGGATTGTTTGTTCTAAATCTGTGAAAAATGCCATTAGAATCTTGATAGGGGTTACTTTGAATCTGTAGTTTGCTTTGGGTAGCATGGACATTTTAACAATGTTAATTCCTCCAGTGCATGAATGTGGAATATCTTTCCATTTGTTTGTGTCTTTTTCACTTTTTTTTTTTAACAGTGTATAGGTCTTTCCCTTCCTTGCTTAAATTTATTCCTAGGTATTTTATTCTTTTTAATGCAATTGTAAATGAAATTGCTAATTTCTCTTTTTCTGGTAATTCATTATTAATGTATAGAAATGCAATATTACACTATATATTAACCAACTAGAATTTAAATAAAAATTTTTAAAAAATTA